ACTTTTTTAACAAATTATCAATTTAGTCATTTCGGCTAAGTTTGGATGAAAATCACGTATGTGGACATCAGTCATGACACATAGGATGGACAGTATTGACATAGATATTTTGAAATTTTTTGCAATTTTTGAATTTTTTATAGTTTATTTTTCCTTCTATTTTCTTTCTTGTTTTTCCTTCTTCCTCCGCCAGTCGCCAGACCTTGGTAATGGCCGGTGATCGGCCACAAGGCCTGGCAACCGGCAGAGGAAGAAGGAAACATAAAAGAAAAAAGAAAAAATTCAAATTCTTTTTTTAAAAATTTTAACGTCAGTGTTGGCCGTGACAGTAGGGGGGCAAGCATCCACGTCTACAATTTCCACTAAAATTGGCCAGAAGGATTAATAAAAAGATTTAAATTGAATTAGCATATGTACAATAAGTTTAAGACTTAATAAAAGAACTAAAGGTGATGTGTTTTAAAACGTAAAGGAATGCTTTTGATCCGAGAAAAAGGTAGAGGGAGGTTTTAAATTTTTGAGCAAAAATGCAAACCCTTTGAGGCACGTGGGAGGTTGATGTCCATTCACTATATCTTGATGCTATTGATAGTTATTATGATTGATTTTTGTACTTTTCACTAAATATGTTCATATACATCCTATTTTGGAGGAGAAGGAAAAGAAAGAAGGAAAAAAGGGTTGGTCAAACTTAGACCCATGACTCAATTGGTTGTGAAAGTGAACTTATGCTATTGATCATTGAAATGGTAAAAGGAACTTTGTTCCAAAAGGTACAATGCTTACAAAAAATTTCAATTCAAAGGAATGACGCATCGAAGAGATTCCACTTATGACCTTTTAGGAAAACGCAACACTTATAATTATAGTTGAAGAGTTATAACTTTTCAAAATTAACACACCTATGCACTTTCTTGGGTCTTTAAGTAATCCAAAGGAAGACAGAAAAAAATATAATGACAAATCCATATTTGTGACTTTTTACTTCTTCTCCATTGTATTATATTTTTATTGAATTTATGAGTTTGAGTTCTCGGTCGAAGAACACTTTGAAGTGCATCAATATGGTGTCGGAATAATTACACAAACGATCTCTGAACTTTGCCTTGATGTGGTTCCTAAATTTTTAATTTGTTCAATGTGGTCCTTGAACTTTAATCCTATGTTCAATGTAGTCTCTGAACTTTTAATTTGTCAAATATAGTCCCCGAACTTTTGGTAAATATTTAATCTAGTTACTGAATTATTATATCTTTAGATTCAATCTAGTCCTTTGATTATCAAGTTTAAGGACTAAATTGAACATGTTGTTTTCTTATAAAGGTATTTTCCATATTGTATTCTTATAGAGGTATTGTGTCAGACAATTAATATTTCCATTGCAGTCGTTAGAATTAGGGGTGAGCATGGTTCCAAGGTAGAACCTAGAGCTTGACCAATGGGAACCTGTAGGTTCTAGGTTTCAAGGAATGCAAGGTAGGTTCCACGTTCCAAAAATTGGAGAACGTGTTTTGACAAGTAGGTTCCAGGATCTAGGTAGGTAAAACCTGGAACCTAAAATCTTAAACAAGTTTTTTGTGTTTTTCTTGGTCCATGTTTTCACTTGATCCTGCGGTTTTTTATGGCATTATATAATGAGCGTATAATCTGGAACCAGTAGTATGAACTTTCATTTTATGACTTGTTAATATTTCATATTCTTTGAGTATCTAAATATAAGTTATGGTCAGTGAATCGTAAGAACAAATGATGGTTATTAAAGGCAATGATTCACTACAATTATTCAATTAATAATATAGATGGAATTTGGATATACCCTAGAATCGACCCTAGATCCTATGACAGGCTAGATTCCAAGTTCTAAGGTATGTGGATAGGTTCCAGGTTCCAAAAAATGAGGAACCTAGAACCGCTCATTCCTAGTTAGAATTATAGTATGGATATAACTATTTTGAAGAAGTTTCTTGGAAGTACCTTGACTAAATCTATACCTCTTCGCTCTTTCTATGGATGTGATTTTCTCAATTCTTTATTACAATTTTGATGTACATTTCGAATTATGTAGCCTTATTCCATAACAAACGCAAAATATTATAAGAGTTCAATTTGTTTTTTTTTTTGGTAAGGTATAAGAGTTCAATTTGTTTTTTTTTGGTAAAGAATAAGAGTTCAATTTGTTGATATGCATAAACTTGGAAAAATGGCTCTTGTAGGTGAAAGCATATATCTACTAGCTAGCCCCATTATGGAAAATGAAAAAAATTCGAAAGAAACCCCCATGGAGCTCTCCCCATTTAGTGATGATCGAAAAGGTTCAATAACTAAAATATCATATGTGCGCGAGCACGTAATTTATCAAATGACCTGAAAACAAACCCCTCGAATAAAGAAGAAACTAGACTAAAGATAAGCCTGCCGGAGAATGCCCAATTTAAGCACGAACAAGCATGCTTTCTTGGCAAAGTCTGCATTTATATTCACACAGCTTTCAACTCCAAGTTAAACTATAATCTTTGCTGGTGTGAATGCAAGGAACCACCATGCGAGAGCAAGACCACATTACTAGATCTCCATGTGTTTGGATGCATCCATTCCATATCTTCCTCTCCCTCCCCTTAATCTGTCTATCTTTTCTTTTTTAGTCTTACTCCTCTTTTCTATGTACATATATATGCGGTACAGATGGGGATCAAACCCCTGACCTGAAACTCTCTGGCCCTACCCCCAATCTCTTTATTAGTAGAGCCGCATGCATGTTGGCCCTCCTCTTATCATCTGACTAGCCAATTGGAAGCCCAAACTCCAATCTCCAGCAGCCCCATCAATTTCACAGAGCAGCAGAAAAGAGATGGCTGCTTGTTTCTTGCTTCACATGACAGAGAAGACAACATTGGTTCCCAGAGGACAATTTGGCTAATCTGCGCAGAGGAGGCAGCCTATCAAGGATGGCCAACCAAGTTATAAATCTGAACCTAAGGACATTCCCATAAGAATCTTAAACACCAGTTCTTTCATAGCATCTGGTACAGACTCAAGCACAGCAAACTACAGATATTATCAATCTTAAATTCCTGCGGTTCGCCTAGCAGTTTCCTCCGATCATCAAGAATTGGGTCCACGGGAAGTTCTCTTGCATCGTTACTATGAAGAGCTTTGGTAACAGCTAATGTAACAGCTAATGCGTCCAGCTCAATATGCAAATGAGTGACGTGGTTATCAAGGGCCAGCCTAATTCCATCTTTGAGAGCCCATGATTCAGCTGCAAATGCGCTAGTTCATCCTATATGTGTCTAGAAAAACGAGTGTTGCATCTGCAATTTCTCTATCTATATTGAGTCAAACAAGCTAGCCTGTGGTTTTTTCACGATTTCTTCTTCCCTTTTGTTTCTTTATGACTGCAATATATTGGCCCACTGGAGGCAAACAAAAGGGAGTGAGTATAGGCAATTTTGTCGGTCTTTGAATGACATAATTGTTCTTGCTCAACCACAGAGCCAGGTCCCCATAGAAAACACCATTTCTCAGAGGATTTTATCCATTAGAGTAGTTCCTGTAGAAACTTTATTTGACCAACGAGGAGGCAAAGTTCCAATTCCCACATCCATTCCAGCAGTCCTTGACCTTAAGATCATCTCCATCTCTATTCAAAGGATAATCAAATCTCCAATAGGTCCCCAAGGCCAGTCCAATTGACATCCCAAAGGGACGTGAGCCCTTCAGGATTGATCACGCAAGCACGAGACCTTTTGCCACCCCTAGACGGCTATTGCATTCTAATAATGGACTCACGTCCACCGTCACTAACTTCTGAAAACAAAAAAAGATCATCCACGAAGAAGTGATGTGAGACTTTGGCCCAGTTCTTGAAACCTTCAAAGGATGTCAATTGTCATTCTCACACTGTTCTTTGATACGAAAGCTCAGGATATCTATAAAAAGAATAACTAGGTAAGGTGAGAAGCGATCAACTTGCTTGATACCTCTACTGGGTTGGGAAGGATCAGTCACACCCCCCATTAAAAACGTTTGCGGTCGCCGTGTAGATGCAACTTAAAATAAGGTCTCACCACAAACAGCGTTAGGACATCTTCGATACAAACTCCTCTCTAGACCGTTGTAAGCTTTTCCCAAATCGATCTTGATAGCACAAAAACCTTTCTTTCCTCTAGTTGTTTTTCATCAGACGCAGTATTTCCTCGAGGATGGTAACATATCATGAGTCCTTCTTCCCAGGATAAAACTAACTAGGCTAGGGCTAATCAGATCATCCAAGAAGGGCCTCGATCTATCAACAGATACTCTGGACACAATCTCGTAAATGGTGTTGCGTAAGCCGATCGGTCTAAAAACTGGTTTAATTTTTTAGGACCTGGGCATCTCGGAATCAGCACGAGCAAAGAACCATTGAGTTCAGGGAACTTCAGGAAAATGAATGAAAGATATTTTTGGTAGTACTACACACAGAAACCCTAATGTCATTCTGCCGAGATTGAAAGAACATCACATGAAGTCCATCATTTCATCAATCAAAATGTCTATTGGCGCGATCCCAAACAATTTGTTCAGTTCGGAGTGAATGCATAGTGGGCTACTATGTTGGTAAGAAATTGCCATTCAAACTTACTGAATCTGCAGTTAAAAATGTCTGGGGACCTCAGCTTTCTGATGTTCTGGCAACTGCTGAAGGCTTCTACTTCTTCCACATCCCAGATGACACTTTTAGGCGGAAGATCCTTGACGGGGGGCCGATCACCATCCTTCGGGTGCCCATGATATTGCAGCAATGGCACCCAGCTTTGAAGCTGCAGAAAATCCAGCACTCTTCTCTTCCCGTCTGGGTTAAATTGAGGGACTTTCCTCTTGCTCTTTGGTTTGCCCCGGGCATAAGTGCTGTTGCTAGCACACTTGGCAAACCACTCCATGTCGATATGCAAACTGAGAGGAAGCGGATGATTTCATATGTCAGGGTTTGCATTGAAATCAAAGCATCACAGCCCATGATGGAGTCTATTGAAGTTTTCCTCAATAATGAAGTCTGGACTGTTAAAGTCGAATATGAATGGCGTCCTCTGGCTTGTACAAAATGTGGCACTTTTGGCCACAACTGTGCTTCTCCGAGAGCCTTGGCGGTTCCCGCTCGTAGGGCCCCTATTCCAGAGGATGATGCTCATAACTCTCCTATCCCAAAGGGTGACAAATGGGAAGTAGTCCAGAAACGGCATTCTGGGATGCACCAGGAAAATCAGCCCAAATCGCCTTCCCTTTCCCCTCGGAGTAATCATTCTCCAGAAGTATTGGGCGAGCAGACCTTGCCTAACCCTGCTATCTCTCCGGCCTCTTCTCCGGCCTCTTCTGACAAAGACGTTAGTGAGGATGACAAAATCAGCAGCATAGGGAGTTCTGTTGAGGAAGACTCCCCTGTCCTGCCTACTTCTTGTATGGATCATAAGGAGCTCACTAAGGCTGAGACCTCGGTGCCAGTCTGTATTCCTGCCGCTCCAGACCCTTCTCCTGAACTATTAGTGATTCCTAACAAGGCTAGCCCTTCTCCAGCAGCCAAAGTTGCCACCCCTAAAACTAGGAGAAAGGGTGGTAAAAAAAAAAACGGTAATTGCTCTTCCACTATGTGTTCATGTTTTTTGGATTTTGGAATATTAGGGGCCTTTCGGCCCCCCTAAAGAAAGCTGAAATAAGATCCTTTGTTAGAGCAAATAATCTCTCCTGTATAGGGATTCTTGAGACCAAGATCATTCAGTCCCTTTTTGAATCTACCTCTGCTGAGCTACTGCCGGGTTGGGATTGGGTTTCAAACTACGAGTTCTCGCCTCGGGGAAGAATATGGGTAGGCTGGAATCCGCATGAAATTCAAATGCAGGTTCTGTCCATGTCTTCCCAGGCTATTCATGGTCAGGTAAATCTGCAGGACTTGAATAAGACGTGCATCATTTCGATTATTTATGGAGAACACACTTTTGTGAATCGCCGTTCCCTCTGGACTGATTTGATCCACTCCAGTTCTGTTTTTGCGTCTCTCCCTTGGCTGGTTGCTGGTGATTTCAACGCCATCCATCATCCCTCCGATAGAACCAGAAGCTCAAATGCATGGATCCCAGCCTTCAATGAGCTTGGAGATTGCCTTGACCAAGCCGGCCTTGAGGACCTCAGGTTTGTCGGCCACCGATTTACTTGGTTGAACTCTGCGTCTGTTAATCGCAAACAAAGGAAAATAGACAGGGTCATTATTAATGATCAATGGAGTAGTGAATTCTCCTTCTCCGAGACATCTTTTATTGCCCCCGGAATATCTGATCATACTCCTATGATTGTCCGAGTTCTACCTCAACAACCGTCTAGGAAACCGTTTAAGTTCTTCAATTTTTGGATGTCCCACCCATCCTTTGAGAGCACTGTTAAACAGGTTTGGGATTTGGCCATCTCAAGATCTCCTCTGTTTGGGTTATGTAGTAAACTCAAAATGTTGAAAGCAAGGCTTAAACTTCTCAATCGAGAATCTTTCTCCGATATATCGACCCGCACTGCCCAGGCCAGGTTAGCCCTCACTTCTACTCAATATCTTCTTGATGCTGACCCTTCTAATATGGCATTGGCATGTCTGGAAAGGGAACAATCCAGAGTATTTTCGGTTCTTTGTCTTCAGGAAGAATGTTTTTTCAAGCAAAAAGCAAGGATTAGATGGTTAACTTAAGGGGATAGCAACACGAAGTATTTCCATCACTTTGTCAACAAAAGACATCTTCAAAATCGTATATTATCGATCTCTGATGATGCTGGTGCCATCATTCGTGAACCGGCCCTCATCCAGCAACATATAGTCTCTTATTTTGAGAACCTGCTTGCTGTTGACTCTTCTATCATACGGCCGGATATCTCGACCATTCGTCCAATGCTCCAACACATATTGGATGATAATCAGATCCTTCTCTTATCTCGTCAAGTAACAGATATTGAGATCCAGAATTCCATGTTCTCTCTAGCCAAAGGGAAGGCCCCGGGTCCTAATGGCTTCAATGCGGATTTCGTCAAGTCTAACTGGGATATTGCTGGCCCCTCTGTTATTTCTGCAGTTAGAGACTTCTTTCGTTCTGGAACATTGCTGAGAGAACTAAACTGTACAATCGTCACTCTTGTGCCGAAATCTCCCAATGCCTCTTCTATGAAAGATTTTCGGCCCATAGCGTGTTGTAACACAGTCTACAAATGCATATCCAAGTTATTGGCTATCAGAATATCTTCAGTTCTGCCTTCTCTAATTAGCCACTCTCAGAATGCCTTTGTCAAGAAGAGAAGGATCACGGATAACATCATGTTGGCCCAAGAATTATTTGCTGGCTTTCACCGTCACCCTTACCTACCGAAATGTGCTATCAAGGTAGATTTTCGGAAGGCTTATGATACCCTTGACTGGGGTTTTCTGGAATTACTCCTCCAGGCTTTTAGTTTCCCTCCTCATATGGTTAAGCTGATTATGGCTTGTGTCAATACGCCTAAATTCTCGGTTGCTATTAATGGAGAGATGCACGGGTTTTTTGCTAGTGGCCGAGGCATCCGGCAAGGGGATCCTCTCTCCCCATATCTATTTACACTTGTAATGGAAGTGTTCTCGGGCATCCTTGATGCTCAAACTCAGTCGGCTCCCTTCAAATTCTTCTGGCGGTGCAAGGCCACTAGACTTAGCCATCTCTATTTTGCCGACGATGTACTTCTCTTTTCTGAGGCAAACATGGCTTCTATAGCTCTCCTAAAGGAAGGCCTTGATACCTTCTCAGGTTGGTCCGGCCTCAAGCCAAACGAAAGCAAAAGTGAGATTTTCTTATCAGGTGGTTCGGAGGAACTCCACAACCAGATTCTAAATTGCTTTGGTTTTGCTCAAGGCATGCTACCCTTTAGATACCTTGGAGTTCCTATTATTGCCTCTAGACTCTCCAAGGCTGATTGCTATTGCTTAGTGAACACGATAACGGCTAAAGCCCGTTCTTGGTCACAACGCTTCCTTTCGTTTGCTGGACACTTACAACTCATCAAGTCAGTACTCCATGCAACCCAGGTTTATTGGGCAAATGTCTTCACCCTTCCTAAGTCTATCCTTTCAAAGATCGAAATGGTTCTTCGGCAATTCTTATGGAAAGGCCCAGATTTGGGTACGGGTGGTACAAAGGTTCCTTGGAATATTGTATGCCTTCCCAAAGTAGAAGGGGGTTTGGGAATTAGAAGAATAGCCGACTGCAACTCAGCATTCATGCTCAAACATATATGGCTACTCTTTACTGATAGAGAGTCTCTCTGGTGTAAATGGATCCATTCTAACTTTTTGAAGAATACAAACTTCTGGGTATCCACCAAGCTGACTGTCTGTTCGTGGACATGGAAGAAAATTCTAGACCTTCGCCTCGACTTTCAGCAAACTTTCAAATGGAAAACTGGAGATGGTGCCTCCATTTCCTTCTGGTATGATTTTTGGCATTCCAATGGGCCCCTATATAAGTTGTTCTCTGATAGGGACATATATAGATCCGGAATCCCAAGGGACGCCTCAGTCAAAGATTTTTTCTCTTTTGTTTGGCATAGTCATTTGTGCTGGATACATTCCATTCCTGGTCGGATGATGCTCCATTGCTGGCGGAGGGTGATGACCGGTTTACTTGGCAAGGGGATCCCTCAGGTACGTTCTCCACTTCCTCAGCTTGGGATTTTATCCGTATTAGAGGCCCCCCAGTCGCCTGGCATTCCTTTGTTTGGGATCATCATATAGCGCCTAGACACGCCTTTTTGCTTTGGATTATCTCCCTCAAGAGGCTTCCCACTCAGGAACTTCTCTTAAGCTATCGCAGAATTTTCATAGGGGCCTGTGCGTTCTGTCGTTGTGGCCCGGACTCTATTGATCATCTTTTTTTCGGCTGCGGTATCTCTCGATCCCTTGCTCTTTTTTGGGCGTCTAAATGTAACCTTTATTGGCGCAATGGCTCCTGCTAAGAAAATTTTCGTTGGGTTGCTCGGGTCACTACTGGACAATCCTTTCATCAGCGTATTACTCGGTTTTCCTTTGCGACCCTTTGCCATCTTATTTGGACAGAAAGGAACCACGTTCTTTTTAGGAACCGGCCAGTTTTTTTGCCTGCTATGCGTACTCACCTTCTAAAGGCTGTTGGGGACAAAGGGCTCTCCCTCAAAACGGTGGAAGACAATCCCCGGAACAGAACACTGTAGGTCAATTGGGGTATTGCGGCGTCCATCTTTATGTGACCCTTGTATAGCTGTTTTTCCTTTCTTTTTGCGGGATGGCTGTCCTTGCCTCTTAGTGCACTCTTGGTGCTTCTCCCTTAGTCGCAACACCTTTGCACCTGTCGGGACATCTTTTGTCTTATCAGGTTCGAGGTTTTTGTGTTCGGCTACTCCCTTGTAATTTGTGTGTTGAAAAGTCAATATAATACTTACCTTACAAAAAAAAAAAAACAATTTGTTCAGTTCAAAAGAGATCTTCAAGTTATCAACGACATGTTCCTTCAATCTCTTGCTCATCCACGATCTTATTCATTAGCACTGCACTTAAATGGCAAGAATACCGTTCTTTCTCCTACTGGCAATGGCAAGTGTGTGATGGTATTACGCACCCTCAAGAGCCAATCCTTCCCGGCTTTCACAATATAGAATATTTCTTTATCATCTGGAATTGTCTGATAAGATGGTACTGTAATCGTGTTCCTCTTCGGAGGCGTTAAACTTCCATTCCAAGTAAATCCATAGTTTTGCTCAATCAAAATTCGAACACAACAATAGAAAAAATTCGTGTGATTACATGGTACAAGCATACAACTTGAGTTGATCTAAGTTAGACTCGAATTAACGGAAAAATAAGCTCATGACAGTACGTGGTAAGAGCATGCAAACGCCACATAAATTTATTCGATAAAAAAAAAAACGCCACATAAATTTGCCCTTTCATATGTAATTGATTATTGAATCCCTAATGAGTAAATTAAAACATCTTGTATACATAGGGGAAATTATTTGATTAATCATAAACCTATTGTACAGATGCAAATTTAGTCCTAAACCTTGACACAAATTCCAATGTAGTCTTTTTTTTTGGGTCAATTTTCATCGGAAATCGCTAAAATGGCGACGTGCCACATCGGACGATCGACGATGACAGGACTGTCACGTTAGCCATTTTCGACAAAAATTGGCTAAAAGACTATATTTGTATTTCATACACAACTTTAAGGACTAAATTGACAAAATTGAAAAGTCTATGACTAAATTGGTATATGTACAATAAATTTAGGAGTAATTGGATAAGTTTCCCTACATGCATCTTAACTTATTTTGAATTATCATTCCCAATTACGTAGAACAATCAAATAGAACTCTAGAATAGTTATTTCTGTAATGGATTTCGTTAATAAGCGCCTAAAAAAAACACTTGTTAAGCAACTAATTAAAATCGATAAAAAAAAGCCGCTAATTAAGAAAATTTTATAGCTTTTAGAGAGTACTGATTATTAACACGATATGGACAATCAGCATTTTGCAAATTGAATAATTCCAAATTAAATATATTTAATTAATGCTTTCAAGAAGCGCGTCCACATGACCTTTCTTTTTTTAATAGCAGTCAAGTGGTGTCCGAGTAACTTTTCACGCGCCTTGACGAGTCTACCTTCCCAACCGATCTTGAGGGTATACTTCCCTACACCGGTACGGCACATTCAGTTTTGACTCCTGAGTGCTCTCGAGTCTCGACAAGACGTAAAATTAGAATTATAAGGAGAGAAGCAAACTCTCTTTTGCTATTATGTAGGGACAAGCCATCTGCAATATAAGGAAATAAGCAACTTTATAGGAAAAAAAAATCCCAGCAATTAAACAAGAAAATCAAGAAAAGGAAATCCAACTAATAATCAATTAATACAAGACAGACAAATTTCAACTCCCAAAATATTTCAACAAAGAGAAAAGAAAACAATAAAAGAGGTGAAAAACACGTTCCCTCCCCTCTCCTCTCTCCACCTTTTCTTGAAACGAAATCGATCGCCTCTGCAGTTTCTCCTCTCTCTCTCTCTCTCTCTCTCTCTCTCCTGTCGTCCCCAACTCCTTCATGCATCGTCGTCGTACCCACTAGCGACGAAATCCACGTTCTTGTCTCTTCTTGCAGTCAATCTCTCTCTCTCTCTCTCTCGTTTCTTGTTTGCTGTTCTTGCGGAGCCTCGGGGTTGCAATGCTTGAAGCTGGAGATCTAGCTTCGAATCGCGCGCGCTCGGGTGATTCGCGACATGGGTTATGAGGTCTTGGACAGCAGCGGTGAGTCAATTCACTTGGGTTCGCTTCTCTTTCTCGTATTGGTTTCGGGACGATGGAAGTTCCCGTCTTTTCTCCGAGATTGAATCTTTCCCCGAGCTGTTTGCGGTGTTCTTGAAAATGGGTCGTGACGTGTGGGAAGAACCGTGGGTCTTTTGCCGTATTCTTCTTTTTCAATCGCTCGGGCTGTGGAATTAGTGCCCGAAAGGGTTCGCCCCAGGTGGGTTCTGTGAGGCTTAGGGTTTAGGGTTTTGTTCGTCCCAAAAGGCGCTGTCTTTTCGATAGTGTCGTGGTTGGGTCGTCGTCGGGGAATGTAGATTTACGTTTTCGTTTCGTGGGTCGAGATGCCGTGGATTGAATTGGGGATTTGATGGCTGTTTGGTTCACGAATTGATTTTGGGACTCTTGGGAGGCTTCATATATGATGGGTGAATTAGGGATTAAGAGAAGATGCAAGTCTACAGTAGGTAGAAGAGGTGTCTCAGAAGAGGAACTCTGTTGCAATATCAACTGGCTTGCACCGTTTTTTACCAGTTTGCTTATCCTGTGAATGTGATTTGGTACTTTTAGCTCATTTGCTATTTGTCAACTCTTCAGCAGTTATTCTTCTATGCTTAGCATGTCTTCCCTGAACTCATTAGGAAGAAGTCGCTACCTCTTTGAAAAGTAGTTGCAATTGTTGGAAATGACACTGATAGAGTATTTATAGTTAGAAAAGATGTTTATTGTTGGGAGCGCCAATCCGGTTCCCGATTCTTAAAAGTAGAACCGGTGTCCAGGTGGTCCGATTCCCGGTTCCAAGGCGGAACTGGACCGACCGGACCGGACCAACTATTATTTCTTCAAAACATTAAGCGAAGAGAGTGGCGTGAATGGTTTCGCTGATTTACTTCGCTCCCGTGCCCTCTTTCCTTTTATTCATATTTTCCTTTTATTCCTCCCTTGTATACCGACCTTTCCCATTATCTTCCAAAGAGAATATTACTCTCTACTCTTTCCCTCGTGACCGGATCACTGCCACATTTGTTGCCCCTTTTCACGTAGTCTAGAGGAATTAATTCCTTTGGTCATGCTGGCCGAAATTTGCCGGAGAAAAGAATGGAAGATTTCTCTGATTGATTGGTTGGACCTCTTTCTTTTTGCCGGAGAAAAGCCGAAATCTCTCGCCCTTTTCTTTTTTAATTTCATCTTCATGTTAAATAAGTGACCGGTTCTATTGGATTGGACTGATGGGACCGGGTCCTAGCCAACTGGTCCGGTTCCCGGTCCCAGGACCAACTGGTCCGGTACCCAGTTCCTGTTTGCTGGGTGGTACCAGACCGGTCCAGGAACCGATCACCCATAGTTTTTTTGTAGAATCAGTATTTCTGTAATCTCCCAAGCTGATTTCTTCAGAATCATTTTCTCTGCCCTGCACTTCCCGAGGACCATTCGAGTTTTCATGGTATCATCTTGTGCAGATAGTCTTGGTTATAACCTACTCAAATCTTAATGAAGACAATGGCAATGACAATGTCTTATGATCCATGCAATGTTGTCAGAACTTGTGCAAAGCTTGGTGAGCACAAGAACTTTATAGTCCATACAGAGGGGCATTCCAAAATATTTATTAGGACTAGATGAGTTGTTGGTTCGTGAATGGTGAAAGTTTGTAATCAGAGGTGCTTACATTTGAAATATCAATCTACTCGTATGAAAGCATCGATATTCTTCTAGGAAGATGTTTGGATTGTCAGTAGGACCATTTGGCACTAGATATTTGCTTTCCTCTTATTGCCAACTTCCATATACATATGGAGTTAGACATCTGTCTTTAATCTTACTGGTATGCAGTCCCTAAGCAGCTCTTGGAAACAAAAATGGCTTTCTGCAGATTATAAGTGTAGTGCAATACCATGAACTTATCTTAAAAGTCTGCTTATACTTCAGTTATGAGTATTGAGAAAGCTTTTCTCCAAAAAAATTATCGAAAAGTAGCTTCATGGCTTGTTAGTACTCTTTGTTTTTTCTTATGCTTGCACTCAACCTTAGGTAGCTTGCTTATTGGATAGAGACTAATGACATTCAACACATCCAATTGAAATCTTTCTGTATGCAGCTTAGGCCCCTGGGAACAGTTCCCTCCCAAGAGGGAATACAACTCTTGAGTTGCGATTTAGTAAATCATAAGTAGAATAGTAGAATGCCACATTTATCATTGTTGGGTGCATAGTGCATACCTGATGAAAAATGGGCAAAGTATTCAGTAGAAACTCTATAAGAACTGATAGGTTGTTACAATATAGTAACGTCTGATGGGTACTACTTGCATCGAGATTCAAAATTAAAAACTCCCAGTTTACCGTTCATCAGGTCATCCACATTTAATATATTTTCTCCTTTCCTTATGATTACAGGAACTGACGATGATCTTCCTCCCTCAAATCAGAACAGGAATTCAAGACAAGGACGCAGTTCAGGCAATGCAAGGTCTCTTTTAGGTTCTGTTCCACCAAGGATGTACAACAACATGGAGGCCCAAATTCATCATCTGGAGCAAGAAGCATACTCTTCCGTTCTACGTGCCTTTAAAGCTCAGTCAGATGCCATTACCTGGGTAAATAACTCATAAGTTTTTGACTTATTGGTTTATTCCCTCTCCATCTTCTTGTCAATTTCCCTTGTACTTCCATGTCAGGAAAAAGAGGGTTTGATTACGGAACTTAGGAAGGAACTTAGAGTTTCAGATGATGAACACAGAGAGCTTCTATCAAGAGTTAATTCTGATGACATCATCCGTAGGATAAGGTTTGAGCATTTCATAATTAGTGTTTGCTTAATTTTTATGGAAAGTATCGACTTTTATCCTTTTCTTTGCTGATTATTGTTGCATTGTTTCAGGGAGTGGAGACAGGCAGGTGGACATCAAGCTGCCATGCTGGGCACCGCCCCACCCATGCACGATGTATTACCTAGTCCTACAATTTCAGCATCTCGCAAGAAGCAAAAGACATCCCAATCGGTATTTTCTGGCTTATTTATCTTCATGGGTTGGCTCTCTTAAACTCCCCAGATTTTGCCATCATCTTAAATTGGCTTGGGGCATTTTCTTGACCAAGAAAGCTTAGTTTTAGTTATAATTTTTTTTTTTTGGGCAAAAGTTTTTTTTTTGGGGGGCAAAAGTTTCCCTTATCGATTATTTGCAAGTTTTTCTCAAACTTTCATATCACATGTTTCACTTTTTATAACTTGGTAGGTTCGGCCGTTGCCTGGTTTGTCCTCAGTCAATCCTCTTCAGTATCCTTCTTCTGCCCCTACTATTAGTAGACAGTATAGTCATCGCAGTTCTACTGGTGTTCATCCTGCAAATGCACCTGGAGAAGCGGATCCACTTATCGGAAGAAAAGTGTGGACAAGATGGCCTGATGACAACAACTTCTATGAGGCTGTCATCACTGATTATAACCCTGTTGAGGTATGCTGTATGGGCTCTGTTTGAATAGGCTTTCAGTCGTTCCAATAAGCCACATGTGAAGACCAAACAAAACATTATTTTATTTAAAAAATTACAAAATAATTCAGCGTGACTACAAGGGCTTATATTTAAGTGTTACAATTCTAAAATTTGAAAATGAAAAGAAAAATTGGTTCGAATAGCTGAAAATTAATAGGAGTTATCATTTGTTTCTTACCAAACATGGATTGTAGATAATGATTAAGTGAATCTTTCACTTAATCGAATCTTTTGAATCAATTGGGGAAAAAAAGGAAAATAAAGTCGCTAAAGGTAGAACGAGCCTGGAAGTAATTAGCACGTCAAATATGCTTAATATTATTAAATACCGAATCTTCTAGCCATCTGCCCTTGATGCCATTTATTAAGCAGGTTCTAGGAGTGAGGTTAACTATATTCTAGATGCCCATTGGCAGTCTTGGTCAAATTTGAGTTCTTTCCTTCATGGCTGTTTTCTTTTAGGTGAAATCTTTGAAGCGGCCTATGAGATGAATATTGCACGCTATTTTCTAGAGCAATGAAACACATAAACATGTCGTCAAATTATGAAGCTGATGTCATTTATGTTTAACATTATATCTACCTTTTTAGTTAAAACAACGGAAGAAACACATGCCTGCAAATTTTTAATATTATATTTTACAATTTTATCTGCTTCAAGCATGGTCTTGTTGAAGATGAAACTGTTCCAGATATTTTGCATAAGTTATTTGTCAAATGTGTGGATTGATGAGGAATGTGCTCGTTTACATTTTTATGGAGAAAATTCTCATTTATATCTACTGTGAAACTTGTGTCCAGGGAAGACATGCTCTGGTTTATGATATACATACTACCAATGAGACTTGGGAGTGGGTTGATCTCAAAGAGGTAGGTTGTAACTTGATCTGTTTGGTTTGATTTTTTTGTATTGATTAGCCAAATAGGTACTATGGCTTGACTTAGCGGTGGTTCGTCCTTTCCAAGATACAAGGTTTTGAGTTTTTTCGAGAAAGATCAAGAAACATGAATCTAAGCCAAGCGTATTAAAGTTTTCAACCTCAAAATTAGGGGTTTGGCTCCTCAATCTTGATTAGGTTTGTCTTTTCCAAATATAAATAGGGGAGTTCCCTGATTTTGTTGGAATTATTGAATGTCTATATAAGAATTCATTAGGTGACTCCTTGTTTCTGTAAGTGTCCTTTCCACGTGATGACATTAGGGTAATTGCATTTGCATTTCTTTGATGTGACTACACTTAGGTGCACACTTAGTTTTGCTACATTACATGCTTATTTCGAGACTCTAGGATGTCCCTCTTGACATGGTCTATTTGATTTGATATGCAGATATCTCCTGAAGACATTCGATGGGATGGCAATGATCTTGCCGTATCACATCGCAGTGGTCCACGGCAAGGCTTAAAGAAATCTTCAGCGCGTAGCGGAGCTGTCCCTGGTTCTGGAAGGGTTAGAGGATCTACTAAAAGCCAATCCAAAAAAGAATTCTTGCCATTACAAAATGGTGCTCAAAAGAAGCTCCCAGATGATATCGAGTTATTTAACACAGATACTTTAGTAAAAGAGGTACGGGAATGCACCACCAAGTTTTTTGACGTGCTGTTGATTTTGGTCTTTTATATACCTGGGAACATGATGCAGGTGGAGAAGGTTTTTGATGCAAGCCATCCTGATCCTGCTGAGATTGCGAAGGCCAAGAAAATGCTGAAGGTAACACCACTGATGTTTCTCTTCTCTCTCTCTCTCTCTCTCTCTCTCTCTCTCTCCATGATTACCCACTGAACATCCTACATTATGGATAAGTAACTGAATTTTGTGGGTGATGCAGGAACATGAACAGGCGCTTGTTGATGCCATTGCGAGGCTAGGTGAAACCTCTGATGGTGAAAGTGGTAATGGATACATCTGCACGTAAATTATTTGGTGCTCCATTTGTTTACATGATGCATCGATAAATCTTCTGATGCTGATGATACTGGCCAAGCTTTGATGTGTAAAATGAAAGCTTTGCGCTTTTTGCCTGACAAAAACAATCTTCAGTTTCTAGAGCCCTGAGCTTGTATCACTTTTTAGACCAAGTGGTGACAGTGAATGCATGGCAGAACAAATTGGCATATATTTTACTTTGGTCTGCAAGTTTTCCTGGAACTTTTGAGCTCTCTTTGAAAGTTTTCTCCTTTATCGAATTGTATTGTCCAACTGTCCTACGATGGACTGATTTTAGGGAGTAACCCATAGATGACGTAAACACTTGGATGAACTGCTGCAGTGGAATATTGAGAGGAAATGCTTTCCCAAGCTTTCTACGTTCTCCCTCCCAACTTTTTCTTTATCGAGTAGTTTTCTTCAGACGATCAATGTTGTCACACCCTTGAGTAGCCCCCTCTTTTCCGTCTCTTCCATTGTCTAGCTTGTTGAAAGCATTGTCCTTGCCTAACTTGGTGCTTTTCTCCTACCCAGATGGAGAACAGGGACATTTGATGGAGCAGCATTGAAGATAGAAATGTCAGTTTTCAGAGCGAAAAGAGTTATGTTTCTGTTCTAATGGTGTTTTTCTTGAAGACGGGAGTGGTGGATGATTGATTATTGAGAGGCGGAACGCTTCCTTGAGCTGGATATTTCACATTGGCTTCTGTCTTTTGATAACATCAAAGAACAACTTGCATTATTCAATCGGGAGCTGGAAGTGTATCAATTGTTTAGCATGTGTACTGATATTAAGAGATTTTTGTAGGTTTCTATGACTATTGACTGGCTACCCTTGGACATATTACGTCGTTTGCCAATTTACAACCAAGATAAATTTATCTTTTAACAAGAGCACATGTATGACACAACCCGATGCAGTATCTATATCTTCCTTAAATCATAAATTTGCTATAAACATACCAAGTGAGCATGGTAATGAGCTATTTATGCTCAGCAAATATCAACGCCAACGCCCAAAATGTTGGACAAGCACATGAGTACCTCAAAATCTTGCGCATCTGGTTTCCTATTGAAGAGATCGAGTTCATTCCTCCCAATTAGCCAATGCTCTAATGATGCGCGCAACTGCACAGCTTACCGAACCAGACAGCTCGGTGGCTCTATGCAGATAACAGGAGCGGTGCCCACTGATTGGACTGTACTCAGAGCTGCATGGCGCATGCTCAAGCTTGTCTGTAGAGCATCGAGTATGTGATCCTTCCCTCAGATGCGCTCCTTGCTTGACCTGTTCAACCAGAGAATGAGAGATAATGACGTAGAAGCACCCAATAAAAGCCTCAACGACAATTATAATGATTCTTATGAAAGATAAGGTCAAACGGAGAAAACTTAAAACATACACTGTACAAATAAGTGTTCCACGACAATTACCTAGAAGGGCAACTATATGAGGGGGTGAATACACAGTTTTTGCATCGCTGGAATAATTGATCTAGGAATTAAGAAATGGAAGCTCATCAAGACAAAATCCACCATGTAGCACACGTATGACAAGAGAGATGATCGATACCGACATGAAGAACTAATGTGCCAGCATGGGAGGATGTTAAATTTTATTGAAGCAACTATAGGCTAACCTTCAGCCAACAAAAATACTGGAACAACGTATTAATGCCACACAACGTGAAAACAAATTTGCAAACAGACAATTAACTTTCAACTCCAATTTTATGCCTTTTGATGCTGTGACAGACCTTTCTACCCGGACCTTTTTTTTTGGTATCGTGCCACGAGACTTCCAGTTAGTCCCACAATTTCACATGCTACAGAGTGGTGGGTACTCAGAACCAAGATAGTTAGATTTTTGACAGAAATGAACCAGGCCAAGCAAATTAAGGACTCAAGGAATGAACCTAAAAACAAAAACTTAGTCAGACCCGGAACAAAATCACCTCTGTAGGTATCAGCATCGGCATTGTAGATATGAAGTAAACGAAGACTATCCAAATAAATTAACAGCAGACAAGACCGGTCATCCTTGTCAGATTTCCCTTGCATTAAACTTATCTAGCAGTAGTGCCTTCACCGTAGGTTGAGCAACAGATTTCAGATACAAAGCATACTAAGCAATATGACTTCATATCCAGTTAGAACACCAAAAGCAACTTTATCTTGTAAATAATTTTCTGCATGATAATGCTACAAAGAAAACAGAATATACTTAGCTCAATTGAGAAGTCTTCAGAATAAGTGTGAAAATACACAATTGACACAGACAACTGCTTGTTTAAGCTCAAATATATATCAGAAAAGTTCCTTCGAATCACTGAAATGTTGACTTCTCTCTCAAAACAAAACATTGCTTCAGCTAACAATCACTCAACAGATTGATATACAGCAAGCCTACTCACAATTTTAGTAAATTAATACATTCACTCTCTTTGGGGGGACTATAAAAGTTCATTAGAATACCAATTTGTACCCTCTTTAATGAGCAACTTCCAGAGAAACCTTCAGCAAGATGGAAGCAAATCTTTCTCTCTCTCGCACTTTTGCTGGATTTGGAAGTCAAATATTATTGTCGACTGTGCAAAGTTCTCTAATTCTCACTAATTAATATATTAGCAATAAATGGCGTTATCTTGTCTATTATTAGCTTGGGAATACAACATTGAATAATTTTGCATCTATGTTTTGAAGAATTGGCCATCCATTCTAAAAAGGAGATTTGTGAAACCTTTACCCATAATAGTTGAAGCACATCTTTTACAACTTGGCTCAATGTAACCGATTGTTAGAATTTCCTTTAATTCTTGAAAGGTGGTACTTCACAATTACATCTCAATGAGGGGAAATGTATTCAAGCAAATGAAGAAATAGATAACATTATGATTCTTGGCAGGGTCACCAAAGTAGAAAAAGTCCAACAGAGATCTTTGGAGACATTTGACAAAATTGGAATGATGTAAAGACTCCATTTAAGAGTTTGTAGTTACTATTAACATAAGAGTCTTGTTAACCAGTGCCCTCTTAACAAGCGCCTCCAAGGCACTAGTTAAGTTAGGAGAAAGGGCACTAAAAGTGCCATAACTTTTGTACGACGCTCACTTTTATGCCAAAACTTTAAGAGCGATCACTTGAGTGCCACTTTTATAAAAGAATGATCACTTTAGTGCCATCGCCAATTTGAGTGGCCGGAAAAACCAACGTGGCATTATTTTATTATAAATTAGTCTATGTGGCTCAATGAAAAAATCCAATCAACAAAAGCCACAACAAGCAACGTCGTTGTGGCCCTATCGGTAAAAATAGAAAAAAGGCTGTTCAAAGGCTAAATCTAAAAAATTGCTAAACCCAAATCAAGATTAAAAAAATCGACCAACCTGGAGAAAAAAAGATGAATGAAGCAATTTCTAGGCCGCTTTCAATTTGATTTCCCCAAGTTGTTCTTCGCAATGGAAAGACCACTTTTCATCGCAAATTCTCATTCCATGAGCACGAACCAAGGGTTTAGAGACAAGTAAATTAAAACGCGATCAAACCAATTCATTAGTACAAACAATGCAATAAAAGGTGAAACAAAAAACCCCAGTGCTTCCGGTGAATCCGGAAACAAATTCGCGCCTCTTGTCCCACACGGATAAATACTTTAAATCAATTCAGCCATCGCAAAAAGCAGCAAAACTCCACAAAAAAATGAGTTGATGCTGAAGAAAGTAGGGCACGAATTCGATAATCCGAAAGCAAGAGTTGGGGTAAAATTGCTTAACTTCTTCAAACACCCCTATCCCCACTTCCCCAAATCGGGGCAAATTTACTTTCTAAAATTTGCAATAGAAGGCAAGAGCAGGAGAAGCGGCTCAAGATCGTGCAAGGCGAAACAAATCAGACAGGCATGGCATTGATTTTTTTCAAAAAAACTTTAATATGATTCCTCTCAAATTGTTCCATGAACTTGCCTCCAACTTCTCTATACAACACATCATTGAGGAGATTGCTAAGCAATTTGCAGTCCTTGATGAAGTTCTGGAACAAGATGTACTCAGTTATGTCATTGGTAGTGTCCATCATTTTTACTAGAAAGTGTAGTGGAGAGAAGCACCAAGAACAAAACAAAAGGCGTATTCTAGTACAATGCGATCACACACAGAGGGAAAGAAGAAAGGAAGGAGAGAGACAAAAATTTGTTTTTCTTAGTCCCATTTGCCATGTTGACTCCTTCATTTTCCACTTTGGACCTGAATTTGTTTTAAAAAAGCCACGTAGGACAAATTGCCAGTTTTTGTAGCCAGAGGCACTTAAGTAATTGTTTTTCCACCGATGCAGCACTCAAGTGATCGTTCGAAAAAATTTTGGCGCTGAAGTGAGTATCGTACAAAAGTTAGGCACTTCTAGTATCCTTTTCCAGTTAAGTTATCTAAAAGTAGAAATAACACTTTCCAAAATACTTTGAAATGAAATAATTACACATTTTAATAAAGTTACCTTAACGGTTTAAATTTCCAAGTACATTTAATAAGACTTAGCAAGTGTTCTAGCGGCACTCTTTAACATTTTCCATATAACTAAGTTTAAGGTGCTGCAGAGTTATTGTAGGCCATGAACATTCGGAGATAGAAGGATGTTTAGGATACAACACCAGATCCCTTTCTATCATATGGTTCAGTATCGCTGCCTACATTACTAAACAATATTTTGACTTCCCCTCATTTTCTAGTTTCCTGTTAGAGAAACTTATGAGATATAATTGAAACATGGACCTAGATGGAAGCTACCATCTAAGAGACCAAAGTAGTAAATGAAGAACCCGACAAATTTAAATCTAAATCTGCAACAAAAAACTGTCACTAAAACTATTTGACATCTCTCAAGTAAAACAGCAAATTATTTTTTAAGTTTAGGCCACTATAAGACCCTTTGGGAAAAGTACTAGGTCACTGACGATGCAAACTAGCTTAGCCGTTGATGGTGCCAAGGACTAGATCAAAGCGCACCACAGGCAAGAATTCGGAGATTCAAAAGAGATGAATCGAACGCGGGGTGGGAGCGTAGCAGATGTGATCAGTCATCATATCTATGGAATCTAAACACTTCACCAGCGAGAAAAACAATAACTGGCAACACAAACAGCATCAAAGCAGTCAGATCCAGCACAAACAACACAATGCACTCAGATCACGAACCCGCAGTTCAATCGCATGCGTTCAAAATGCAATGCCAGAAGCCCAAACTTAATCATCTAACCCTCCAGCAGTACAACCCCCACTAGTCCCCCGGATCCTCCACTCCAATATACCAATGAATCAGAATCAAGGACAGCACATAGAGTTAGCATCAACAGAACAGTACCTGGAACGCAGCCCGATCCCGAGACCGACCCCAACCGACCCGCAATCAAAAGCTTCCAATCAGGGCATGACGAGGTACTACAAATCCAGAAGCAACATTAGCAACAACATACCCTGGAACTTACAGAACCCAAAGAGATGCTATAGCACCCAAGATTCCAAATTTTCACCGATCAGCACAAACTGAACAGACCCCACAACCAATCGCCATGACCCACGACCCGAATGTCGTCGAAGATAAAGAGGAAAAGGGAATTACCTGTAGAGAACGCGTCCTCAGCTCGGGCTGAGGGATTCGCCTGCGGAAGGCGACCAAACCCATCGTGAGGGCGAGAGAGACGATGGGTTTGAGCAACATCAGAGACCACGAAAAGGGGAGAGAGTAGGAACGACGTTTGGCCAAAAGCCGTGGATCAATGGCGGAGATTGGAGTGAGTCGCACGTTTCTAATCTCGATTTCTAATCGACAAACGCCAAAGAGATTCTTCGTGCGGTGCGAAGAAACCCCTCCCAATGCGGTAACTCCTCCCCTTTATTCCACCTCCAAGTTCCTTTTCTTAAATGTGTAACCTTACAAAATGGGAGTCGTCAAAGGCGTGAGTAACCGGGCCGGTTCAACCTGGGAATCGGACCGAATCGGCCTTTGCTCGATCGGTTTCGAGCCGATTTCAGTTCTCGAGTCCGGACTCCAGAAGAACCGGTTCAGATTTGCTTGGTTGGTTCTAAGGTTGAACCGATCGACAATACCTTACTTGAAAAAAAAAAAATTCAAATATAACGAGTGAGAAAGAAATCGACGACCTCCAATTTTGATGTAGGCATCCAAGACTCCTTAACTAACATGACTTTACTAGTTATGTGCGATGGTTTGTACAAAACTAACCCGATTCTTGGGAAGAATCGAGAACTTGCCTCAAACGACTGGTTCAATTCCGCGATGATTCCAAGTATAACTAGTTCGGTTCACGATTCTAATCTTTCAAAACTAGCACCTATATAGGGTAGGCTTTAGGTATCAATTTCCGAACTAATCAACTTTGAAATCAAATACCCCTAAAAGTAATTGGGTACCCAAAAAGTAATGAATATTTAATAAAATCATACTGCGTTTCTTGCGGAATAGAGAAATTGAAGATCGTGCAAGCCCAATGGCACATGATCATGAAAGTCTATGGTTTAAATGGAAAGAGAAGTTAGGCTTCAAATTGTGGTCCATAAAAATTTTTAGATCGTGGTTGCATTTTAGTTCTAAGGTTTACCAAACTACCTAAGTAGACTTGAGTTTTCTTAAAAGATAAAAGGGTGCTCTTGTAGATGACTTATTGAGTTTGAGTCTTGAGTTATAATTCCCAAATTCCTGGCCAACATTATAAGATTTTGTAAACAATTTTGTTAATGAGTGTCTCAAGGGCCATTAATAAAAAGAAAGGTTGTAATTTCAAATGTGCTGTCTCTCTCGTGTTACGTGCAATTACTGTATTGAAAATCAATATATTTCCTTATTAAATATACTTAACAATTACCTTACGGTGATCATTGACCCTTTTGTAAATGGGATCTCAAACTCGTCTTGCAACTTGAAACTCAAAATCCGTTTATCTATTAATGCCAATTGCAATTAAACCTCACCCATTTTCATCCCTAAATATATTGAGTATACTTGATTAAAAGCTTCATTTCAAAAGAGAAAAAAAGCTCATCATAATTTGGCATCAAGCAAGAGGCACATAACTATGTCTATATAGGAAAATTATGCAATCCATTACCCTTTTCATCCCCAATTCATATTAAATTATGTACCGACATGACAAGCGGCGTTGACAAAATGACAGGGCTCTTTGTACCCAAAACAAGGGACTTGGGGTTAGAGCTCTGTTAGGATTTTAGAGGTTGCGAAATTAGGATTTTCGAGGTTGCGAAAGATATACATCAAACGCACTCTTCCAATGCGGGCATTGGAAGCAATAGCGAGGGGGTGGACTCCAATGATGGAAAAAACTTAAACGGCGAAATGTGAGAAATTGACAAAGTGTTGACACCAAAAATTGCCCAAGTCCCTTATCGTCAACTCGGACTAGAAAAGACCCGGCAAGACATGGTTGAGGTGAAATTTGTTATGTCCTTTTGGTCGACAACTATAGGTAATCGACAAAGACGGCGAGAAGTTACCGATATGTGATATAAGAGAAAATTACTAAGTGTTGAGCCACAAGTGTTGGTAAATGAGATTTGGTTTAGTCGATAAAGAAATCAAAGTTGAAGTAAAGAATCGATGAATCGAGAACAAGATAAAAATTCAAGCCACGAAACCAACAATTTCAGCTACAATCATAACGACCTATTCAATCGTGAAGCTAGCATGACAACAGTTCGTAGAGCCGTAAATCTCGAAAGCCATAAATGATAATGGCCGAGAAACATGCAAAAAGAGGAGTTGCAAACTGTGGAAAAAGCAGTCAACGTGGAGTGAGTGATGAGGCCATAATCGTCGAACAATGAATTTTTTGGAACAGTTTGTAAATATATGTTATCAAATTTTAGGAGTCATGTATGATGTTTATTTGCTTGCTTTGTAACTATTGTTAACATTTGTTAGTAGGTATACGCATTAGGATTGGAATTCAAGCAAAGGACTACCAATCAATCAATGCTTATCTTCCTGTTATCTTTACATTCTATTACTTTTTTACATGACTAGCCACGATTGGCAAGTTGTGCCTAAACTTCGGAATATCCTTTTAAACTAAACTTGAGTGGCACAAACCATTTTGCTTTAATCCAAACATTCCTAGATCCAGATTCATTACTTGGCTAGCTAGCTACTCTTAACAGGCTCCTTACGTTTGGTAGGTTGTGCATAAACTTGGGAAGATCCTTTTAAAACCAGCTTCGAACATGTGTATGTAGTATATTTGGAAAGCCAACAACATGGTATTACATGGTGGATCCCTAGTTTGCCGTAAAAACTAAAACTGAGTGCTTTTTATGTACCGAAGAACATGGTTGTTAAAAGCATTCTTGGAGAATTACGCTCTAATTGGGGCATAAGCTTGTAATGGCACGAATTTTCATTATTTGCAGCTATGGCTAAGGTCTGTTCTGTCATCTTGAAAGTGTTGTTTGTATCCAGTATAGTTAGTTGTTGCAATGATTGCTGATTTTTTAGTGCAATGATGATAGGATGGAACTCGTAGTGGGAGTGGTTCATCCACATGCTACCAGTCTTGAATCATAAATGATTTAAGTACTTGTTTATCTAAACAAATTATTGCTTGCTTATCTGCGAAAAAACAAAGGATTGTCATAATCGACAATTTTAGTTTAACCATTTCTTAAAATGGATTTCACTGTAATTTGAGTTTAAGGTAAGACCCCTTTCTGTCTAACTTTAAAAAATCATGCCAAATTACCGAGGCTCAATTTGGTTTGTTGAAATAAGATAACTAGAACAAAACAAAAGGAATAGGAATAATAATCTAAATGATAAATAACGTTGATTCCACGTCCGGAAACAACTTGAAATTAAATGTTTTTTATAATTATACACACGGTAAAAATTCACCATAACAGGGGGAAAATAGCAATTTTACTGCAAAACTTGCCAAGAAAAGAGCAAAAATAGAAGGAGATTAAATGCCCTGTCACATTCTTGATTCTGTTTTTTGTCTCGTCATCTCACAATTATTCATTGAAACAATGATTAAATCATATAAATTAATTTGTTAGTTAAACTCTCCTCCACCTGCATTGATGACAAAACAATCTCAAGAAAATCTTTCATGCCAGATATTTATTCTAAATTATTATTATAAGTCGCCAACAACAAAAGGACAGAAAATAAAGGCTTGAGTACCATTCCACTTTCTCCAATCCCGGCTCACAAACAAGGTTCGACGTTTCATAGTTCAAACAACAAAAGAAAAAACAGATATGACCAAACTAGTTTGATAAAATGAAATGTAAATAAACTCAATTTCCTTTTGCCGATTTCAAAGATGAATAAAATTAGATAATAGAGAAGAAACATCTGCACTCGTGAATGTCATTTGTAGGCCCTTCTCTTTAACTATGGATGCTTGAGCTGGTTTTTCATTTCTTTTACTGAGTCTCTTCATCACTAGATGCATCGTCCTCATTCTCACTGCTTGACTTCAAATATTTCTCCCATTCTTCGCTTTCTATAAAGACAATCAAATAAATAGTTAGATATAAGGAGCTCATGTTCCTATTTAATCCGTAAGATTTGCTTCAAAAGGAAAACTTGGTGAGGCCATCTCCTACCGCATATGTTGTTGAGGTTGTTGCTTGATTCCTCCAAAAATTGTTCAACAACGATTTTCTCTTCACTAGAGATCTTCAATGACTTGGATGGAGGGATTCTCTCTTTTTTACTGGAAGATATCTTTTTCTTCGATGAACCTTTCATCTCAGTAGCAGGACCTTGCTCCTAAATTGTCACCCGAATGAAGTCACACCTAAGAGCGTTAAGTAAAAGTAACTTTAATTCGCATTTGACTTATTTAGGGTTTTTATAACTCACCTGTAGAGAACTACTCCCCAGCGTCTCCTTATCATTAAAAGCCTCCATTATAAACTGGACAACCTCGATAGTTGAGCGAAACATCTTTCTTGATTGTCCATGACGATAATTCTGCAAAGATAATAAATTTCGGTTATCTTGATTACCATTTCAAAATTTCAAGATAGTCATGTGCAAAGCTGTGTTACTCATCAAAGGTTTACTGAAGACTCAAGAATAATAAAGGTGCAACGTAAAACTAAGTTTTTATTAATCCTTTTGGCTAACATACATCCCTAGATAATCCATTCCATCTCCTTGCAATGCTCACAACAACCAAATTAGTTGAATCTACATTACTTCTTTTTAATCGTCGATTTATTAAGGAAAGTAGTAACAATGAAGTTTTTTTCATAAACAATTACCATGTCTAATTTTCCATTTGCTCGCTGTCTGCATGCAATATGCCACCCTTGAAGCCTCTCTTCAAATGAAGACTGATGTTGGATGTCCTGCAATCAATAAAATAATAATCACATAAAAAAATTAAAACAACTAGACAATTAGATATACAAATCCTGATATTTATATGCATTCAATGCAAAAACAAAGAAGAAATTCAAGAAGCCACCTTGTCCAAGTCTTTGTGAATTAGACAATCCGGGGGGAGTAAGAAAGACACTGTCTCTTCCCCTACAAGAGTGGATTTGGCGCTGGTTTTGACTTCCACTGATGAAGATGGATTTGTCTGTGCTTAGGATATCATTTGTCATATGTTGTGAGCATTAGTTACAAATTCTTACAAATAAAAAGTTTGCATTGATATGAACAAAAAATGAAATGTTGACTATCGATCATCATACACTTTAAGTCAAGAAATGTTTGTTCAAATCCTCCAAAATAAATATGTGAACAAGGTACAAACAAATCATTGAAATAATATTACCTTAATGGTCGAGACATTTATCTCATCATCGGTTTGGGGTAATTGATACGATATTGGATCCCGGTCGAGCATCTC